TTTGAGACAGGGTCTCACTCTGTCACCTAGGCTACAGTGCAGTGGCAGAATCTTCGCTCACAGCAGCCTTGACTTCCTGGGCTCAGGTAATCCTTCCACCTCAGCCTCCCAAGCTGGGACTACAGGTGCCCATCAGCATAAACCCATCTAATTTTTGTACTTTTTGTATAGATGGGGTTTCGCCATGTTGCCCAGGCTGGTTGTGAACTCCTGAACTCAAGAGATCCAGCTGCTTTAGCCTTCCAAACTCCTGGGATTACAGGCATGAGCCACCACACCCAGCCTGATAAGTTTTATTTATTTATTTATTTTGGGACAAAGTCTCACTCTGTCACACAGGCTGGAGTGCACTGGTATGATCGGTGTGATCATAACTCGCTGTAGCCTTAAACCCCTAGGTTCAAATGATCCTCCCATCTGAGCCTCCCCTGTAGCTGGAACTACAGGCATCTGCCACCAAACTTGGATAATTTATTTTTTATTTTTTATTTTTTTTTCTTTTTTAAAATGGGGTTTCACCATATTGGTCAGGCTAGTCTCGAACTCCTGACCTCAGGTGATCTGCCCACCTCAGCCTCCCAAAGTGCTGGGATTACAGGCATGAGCCACGCACTCGGCCAAGAATATTTTTAAAACACAGTAATAATCTTCAGCTGACACAAATTCTCAATTTTAAGTCATCACTGTAGATACATTAAATAAATAAAAGTAAGTTCAGTAAAAACTTGTATAAATATATACATTTTAAAGACTATAGATCAGGCACAGTATCTCATGCCTATAATCCCAGTGCTCTGGGAGGCTGAGGCAGGAGGATGGCTTGAGGCCAGGTGTTCAATACCCGCTTGGACAACACAGCCAGACCCCGATCTCTACAAAAACAAAAATTAAAAATTAGCCAGTGGTGTCACATGCCTGTAGTCACAGCTGTTCAGGAGGCTGAGGTGGGAGGATCACTTCAACCCAGGAGTTTGAGGCTGCAGTGAGCTATGATCTCACCACCACACTGAACTCTAGCCTTGGCAACAGAAGCTCTGCCTCTTAAAAAAATAAACCAAAAATCAAACAAACAAAACACTGAACACAGTGGCTCATGCCTGTAATCCCAGCATTTTGGGAGGCTGAAGTGGGCAGATCACGTGAGGTCAGGAGTTCAAGACCAGCCTGGCCAAGAAGGCAAAACCCCATCTCTACTAAAAATATAAAAATTGGCTGGGTGTGGTGGCTCACGCTGCCTGTAATCCTAGCACTTTGGGAGGCCAAGGCGGGCGGATCACCTGAGATTGGGAGTTCGAGACCAGCCTGACCAACATGGAGAAACCCTGTCTCTA